AATGCATTTGTTTCACCTTAACATGGCGGGGTCTCTGCTCTGAAGTATTTTCCTAACTGAAATGGGAAGGAGGATTTGAAGGGGGAGCTTCTGAAGTGGAAAATGGGAGCTGTACTTAGGTCTTGCCACTAGGGAGCAACATAACCCTTTCTGGCTGGACTGCCCAGAACTCCACCCTCCCCTGGGCCTGATGTACTTGAGGAGGGAACAAGGGCAAGTTTGGTTTGGTTCCTTTGACATCCAAAGCTTCCTGCTGAGGAGCGGCTCTGGGCCCTTGGAACTCAGGACATGGCCAAAAAACGCCTTCTGAAATCGTAGTTCCTTCTAATTTATAGGACTCCTCTCCCCTTTCAGTCTTTCAGCACATGAGCATATTGCAGATAAGCATGGAAAGTGTTTCCTGGTGGGCCAGTTCCTTCTTTCCTTTTTGTCTCCTTCCCTGTCATGTGGCCTTTGGAGAGAATGGAGGTGACAGGGCTCTGGCAGGTCCTTGGTAAGCCCCCCACCATAGGGCCTCCTCTGTGAGCAGGCCCTCCCCCGCCTCAGCCCCACGTGCCTCTAACAGAGGTTTCTCAACCTTGGTTCTACATCAGGATCACCTCTGGAGCTTTTAAAGATACCCACGTGTGGGCCTGACCCTGATGCATTCTGATCTAATTAGCTTGGGATGCATCCTGGACATTCGGAATTTTAAAGGCTGTCCATGTGTTAGTAATGTGTAGACAAGGGTGAGAAAGACTGCTCCAGCACAAGAGCATTCTACTCAAGGCAAATGGACTGCCCTTGGCTACACCAGGAGACCTCCTGCCCCGCATCAGCTGGGGATGGGGGTGGAAGCTTAATTCTCCTATGTGGTTCAGGAAGGGGCCAGATCCTTCCTGGCAGGTGGGCCCCCTCATTGACTGGTGCTTCTGCGTCTGCTGAGGACAGCACCTTAGTGTGACAGGCCAGCCTGTCACTGCCCACTCCAGTGCACCTCCTCATCCTCCCCACCACCCCTGCCCAGCTGTCCATCCTCCCTGGACTGCTTGGCCTTCTGGGAACACACTATGCTCTTTTGCAGATCTACTCCTTTGTTTCCTCTGGGATGTGCCAGTACTGCGTCACCTCCAAGAAGCCCCTGTCCCTGACATACCTTCTAGCATCACATGTTCCTTGGGGAATAGTAGCTGTTGAGGTGTCCTCCCTGCAGAGACCTTTGTGCATCCTGTGCATGTAGTGGGTGTTCCACAACTATTGGGTCAATGGCCTCCAGGGGTGGGGGAGCACTTGGTAAGCCCCGCCTATGCAGATGACAGACTTCTGAGAAATGGGTGCCAGGTTCAGCTGAGCTGTTGTAGCCAAGAGGGAGCTAGAAGGTTCAAGGCCACTGATGCCCTACCCTTGTGCTCGTAGGTCCTGAATAGCAGTGATGGTTAATGTAAAAGGAGAGGTGTGGGAGGAAAAGATATGTCAGCCACACATGTGTTGGAGGAGAGACAAGGAGGGCAACTAATTCATCCTGGCTTTAAAGCTGGAAGTCCTGAATCCTGGTGACCTCCTCAGGCTGGAAAAAACCGGGGAGGTCAGTCACCATACATACATTAACGGCTAAGGCGCGTGTGACTGACCCAGGGAGAGGGGACTGTGGCCTTGGAGTAGCCCGGCTCCAGGACAGCCGGCATACGCTTGACCAGGCGCAGCAGGGAAGCCCTCCCACCTCCTCAGCCTTTAGTACCCAGCTGCCAGAGCCCCGGCCCATGCCCAGCACCATGTTAGCTATTTCAGGGCAGACGGAGGGGTTGGGAACAACCTCTGCCCTCTGCAGCTGGCAGTAATTAAAGAGGCCCGAGGCAGCAGTAAAAGCCGTGAATCTAGGATACAGATGCCTGGTTTCAAGTCCCAGCCCTGCTGATGGCCGCCAAGCAGCCGGCTCCTCTCTGAGCCTAAGTTTCTTCCTCTTAGAATGAGAGTAACACCTGTCCCTTGTCCCTTCCCAGGGTGGACATGGGGCCAAATGACCTAGTGTTTGTAGCAGACTCCAGAGGTCTGAAGCAGTGATTCTCAGCCACTTGTTTGAGATCTTTAAAAAGTCCTGATCCTGGATCTTGTTCCCAGGGAATCTGAGCTACTTGATCTTGGGTGTGGCCTGGGCTTCAGGATTTTTTTTAACTTCCCAGGAGATGCTCATGTGCAGCCAAGGTTGAGAACCACCACGGCTCTTAAATGCATTCCAGGTGTGATAGGTTATTGTTCCTGTTTAACTGGAAAGACAAGAACTATTCGCATGAAACAAGCAGAGGACAAAGTAACATGCAGAATCTCCTAGGTGGAGGGACAGCAGTTGAGAGTGGCTGTCGCAGTGGGACATTAGCTGGGAGGCTTTCTGGGAGAGAGCGAGGTGGTGGCTGCAGGATGCTTGCAGGAGAGGAAGAGTTGTGGGAGAAGTCAGGGGGGGAAGGGGATGGCATGAGGGAGTGAATAAGCACGAATCAGACTTGTAACTGTCAAAGGCAGTGAGGGAGAGCTGTTGAGGGGGCTGTCGTGCCATGTCTGCAGGCTCACAGCTTCCTCACACCAGCTCAGAGCCCATCCAAGAAGTGGTCGGTGCTCAGAGGCCTGAGAAGCCTGAAATGGAGCTGAACCCTCAGTGGGTGGTAACTCATTAGGGACCAGCAGGTGTGGGCTGTGCGGAGGGAAGGTAGTTCCACTCCCTTCCCCTTTCCAGCCCGGGCGATGGGCTCCACATTTGTTCACCCAAGACAGCTTGGGCAGAGCCCAGCCACTGGCTCCACTCTCCAGGCACCTTCAAGCATGCTCTGATGAGAGTTTCTCATGCTAGGGCCTGTGTGAGGACAAGACCAGGGGTGGGGGAGTTGGGACCTCTGTAGGAGCGGAGCATAATCATCGCCGTCCCTTGGACCTCTCCACACTTGGGAATAGCAAAAAATAAAACCCTGAATGCTCCTGGATGTCATCTGAATTCTTGTTGCTCTGTGCATGGCTGGCCCCAAATTCAGTATTTGTGGTGGTTTCTTCCGGGAAACTCTTCCCCCTCCTTCACCACTGTGGCAGGGAGCAGCCTCTCTTACTGCAGCCCAGGGGTCCTGGGAGACCCTTGGAAGGCAGCCCCCAGAGCAGAATTCCAGAATAGGAGCCATGGTCCCCTCCTGTGTGAGAAAACACCTCGAAACAGATTTTCTGAGGTCACCCATTTGGAGGGAACGGCCCTTAAAGATGTAGAAGGCCTAGGATATTCAATTCAGGAAAAAAAAATAGCTCAACATCAGTATTGGACCCTCTTAACATAAAAAGTCAATAATTACGAGATGTCATGGAGCAGTGATAAGGTGCCAGGCAGATGGGGTTGATACCAGAGATTGCTCATTCTGAGGGCAGAGAGCTCATCCCCCGAGGGGGTGAGAATGGTGTCAGAGTGCTTCCTGCTGGGTGGTAATGATTGATGTCCTGGGGAAATGGAGGAAGGGAGCTGGTTTGAAGGGGGAAGGTGTGAGCTCAGTTCTCAGCTGGCTGGGTTTTGGCGTGGCCTGTTGAAAGAGTGGGGATGTGTTGGGTAGGAAGCTGGAGGTGGGGTCAGAAGAAGGCCCTGGCTTGAATGCACGTGTAAGGATCCTTAACTGTTATCCTGAAACCAGAAACACTGGGAAGGATCCCTGCTCGTGCCCTGGGCTCTGGGACCAGGAGCCACTGCTCAGGAATGGGGATTGGCACTCCTAAACCAGCCTCGCCATGAGGGTCTGGTTTAGAGCCTCCTCTTTGGTATAAGTCTGCAGGAGGGAGGGTGTGCGGGGGCTCTGGGTAGCCAGACTTTCTCAGGAGCACCCGTGTCTGGGCTCCCCAGGCAGTGAGCAACTGCCAGATAGGGACACGTGTTGAGGGTAGAGGCTGGCACTGTCGCATACCTTGAGAGCACCTCACAGCACATGTCTTGATGTTGATGTGCTGATGAGACCTAGTGGAGAAGCTGTTAGTCTGGTGTGTGGTGTGGACAAGCTCAGCTCTCCTGGGAGGACCTGGCCATCAAGGACCTTGGACGTAATCTTGTGAGATGCAGCTAGCATGGTGGAGGTGGTGGGATGGTATCTGTGAAGGGGATGGCAGTTATGGCTTAAAATCTTGACTTTACCACTTCTTAGCAAGGTAACCTTGGGCTTAATTGCCCAAACCTGTTTCCTTATCTGTGTGATGGCAATAATAATAGCTACTTCATAACAGTGGCCTGTGTGCCCAAACCTGAGGCCTCAGCAGTCAATGGAAGTGATTTGTTAAGAAGCAGAAAATCTTAAGTGATTGGAATCAAGTGAGCCTGGGTATGCAGCCCAGCTCCATCCCTTATTAATTGTGTCACCTTGAGCAAGTCATCACCTATCCCAAGTCTCTGTTCTCTTACAGAGATTAATGCCCATCCCACAGGGAGGCTGGGAGCCAGTGAACACCGCAGTGTATATAAAGTGCTTCTGCACAGCCC